AGGCATCCTGTCTGTGTGATTTCCTAGTAGCTACTGTTGATATTTCAGAAAGTTGTATGGCTATCACAGATATTTACATTAGGGTTTTTAGGATTGTAAAAAATTCCTGTGTGACTCTATGGAGGTACCAGGAAATAGGGGAAGTACAGAAAGCAAGACAGTGATTGGCTGCGCAGGCTCACCAGGGAGGGAGAGGAGGCCAGGAGCCAAGGGCTTCCTGAAAACTGGAAGCGAAAGGGGACAAGCAGTGCTAAAGAAACCGAAAATGGTATGACCCATGAGAGGAGGCTAAGCATGAAGCAGCCCTGGGTTTCACCAGCATCTTGGTTGAAGGTCAGTCTGCTTTTCTTCATGTGAACTAAGATACATTTTTGTTTTACCCAAGCTGTTCTTTGTAGAGAGAAAGAAAAATTCCCAGCCCCATTTTCCTTTCCCTTGACCAGAGTCTTGGCCAGGGAATATGGCCAGCTACTTCTGGATCTCTCTTTGATTTTAAAAGAGAGAAAGTAAAAAATGAATCACCTTAAGATTATGCAGTTTGTCTGCAGGGCAGAAATCTTTCTGTATGTGCTGGGGCAGCAATCTCCAGGTAGAGATTTTGGAAGGCCCTGGACCAGGGACTTGTTTCTAGAGCTGATGGTCTAAGATGGAGAACCAAAATGGAAAATTAAATGGGAAACTGGAGTCGTGGGTTGGAGATTTGGGTCAGGGACACATTAGGACCTCTATAGCCCAAGATCCTTGTGCCACCACGGACTTCTCCACTGTAATATTATCAATATTGAAAAAATTTTGTTTCTATGATTTTAACTAATGCAGTATTTTATAGTTTTCCCTTGTAGGCAAAATATAATAGGGCATGAATGCCCCAAAAGTTGTACTTATTTTCCTGGTGTCAGGAAGAAAGAAATACCTTTCCTTTGATCATAAAAGTTGTCTTTCAATTCTGATTTTAAAATATTGGAAAACATTTTATGGGCTTCTAAAAGCTTTTGTACCTCATGAACCATACTTCCTATGCTTAAGAGATCAGGAAAGCTGAATCTAGAAAAGGAAAAGTCTTCAGCCTGTAGTACTGGCTGTTGGGCTGGGGGTGCTGGAGAAGCTGCAGAGCAACCCTTTTAGTGGGAGCTCTACCTCAACTCCCAGGGCTGATTGGCTGCAGAAGTGCCTTCTGTTAGCCAGGGCGTAAGTCTAATGCCCTTAATCTGCTTTCCTTCTTTATTTATTTATATATATTTTTGGTACTGGGGATCGAACCCGGGTCCTTGCGCTTGTGGGCCAGGCAGTGACTCTGTTTTCCTTCTAAACGTTGCAACTTGAAGAACAGGAAAGAACAACAGCCTAGAATCCTGAGGACTGCAAATATGGTTTCCTGCTTTCATTTTGTGCAGCTGTGTGTTCCTGGGTTAATCCTTCCTCTCTGTGGGTTGTGTCCTATGTTTGTAAAATGAAGGAATCAGACTAGACAAAAACCCTCCAACTGTAATTTATGGTCCATGTGCTCGTGAAATACTATTAGGAAATGTCACAGTGAGATAAAAGAAGTCATTCATGAAGGGAGACAGTTATGCTTAGATCAGGTTCTGAAAATAAGTTGTTTACTTCAATACTATATAAAATTTAGCCTAGAATTTTCTGGCGACTTAAGAATACAGAATTTTTATTGTCTGACCAACAAAAAAGCAGTACATTTTTTGCTAATTTTACTTGGTCTTCATTCACACATTTTATTTTTATTATAAAAGTGGCAGTAATGCAATTTTGAGTTTTTAAAGGGAAAAATCCTCTCATAATCTCACTACCTCGATAAATCTAAATATTTTCCTTCCAGTCTTTACTCAAATTGCCATTACCAGATAAAATTTTTATATTTTGCGTTTTTAACTCAAGGAAATATGATCTTTATTCCATGGTGCTGCAGATTTTGTGTTTATCATTTTGAATGTCTTTAGAAAATCAATTGGATGCATTTACTCATTCCTTGACTGTTAGGTGTTTAGTTGGTTTCCATGTTTCATTATCACTCACAATAAACAATTAATAAATGTAGCCTTTTCCTGCTTTAGGATAATTTTCACTGCATGAATTCCCAAGAATGAGAAGATCTGGTCAAGGAGCATGGACATCGTCGTGTTTTTCTAACCCCTGACTGTTTAATTCCTGTGAAATTATGCTGCTGCTGCTGCTTTTCCTGTCAGGCACTGAGTCCTAAGATAAATTGACCAGGGAACCTTATTTAACAATGATCTCTTTCAGTTCTAAATGGCTCTCCAATGAGTCTGTTGCAAGACCTAACTTCCCCAGGCAAAAGCACTGGAACATTTGATTTAGTCTGGGTTTGTTACTGGTATTAATATGCTTTTGGCACTTCAGTGTACTGTATATTTATGCAGGAGTAGAGGGACTTTTTATTAAATCAGGATAAACAAATCATCTGGGGAGAGTGCTGGGGAATGGAGAGGGATGCTCAGATGACTGCATGTCCTCTAACAGGAAAGTTGTTGAGTTTTATTCATCATCTGTCCAAGATGTCCCCATGTATGACTGGCGCTGAGCTGCAGTCATTCTGAGTTGGGATGGTTGGGCTCAACTTTCCCACTATTTCTGGCTATAAGGATGCAAATGGAGCTGAGCATTTCCTCTTTCCTGGATCTCAGACAGCTCGGTTTCAGAGTGCTGTGCTTCTCCCAAGTGTTTCCAGAGAAGACAGCCTGAGGGAAAGGCAGTGGTGCTAATTAAATCCTCCCTCTGTTTTCCAGGCTTCCGAGCCTTTCACAGATGTCTGTTGTTAGGCCTGTGTTCACAGAGTGCACAAATACAGAAGCCGACGTTCCTTCCCCAGTGACACAAACCTTCCTTCATGGGTTACAAGGAACTTTAAAAATGCATTTCCTTCCAACACCCACTATAACAGAGGTGGCAGACCCGCATAAATAGAGTGCGTAGCTGCCAGCAAGGCCAGTGTGCCTCACCAGCCTCTCTCTCTCTGTCACACACACACACACACACACACACACACACGCACGCACGCGAACACATATACACTACATTTCTTCTGTTTTTCTATTCCTTGTATTCTGACATGCCAATCTTTGCCTTTTGAGTACTGTTTCAAAGCTACCTAAAAACTCAAAGAAATCCTTCTGTGAAGGTTTTGTGTCATGGCAGGCATGCTGTACTCAACATGTTTGACAGTCCAGGTGCTTCTGAAACTATCCAAGTGTGTTAGGAGTAGAGCCCTTCCAGAAAGATGAGGATAGAGTAAATGGCCCTTCCGCGGTAGCTAGGATCAGATGAGACACGGTATCATGAGAACTGCAGAAAGCTTTCCACTGATACTTCCCTAGCCAACAATGTTTTGTCCTATGTTCAGACCTTGCCAATGAGACCGTCTGTATCCACATTTGCACTGTCCTGTTTGCTCCTATTATCCTGGCATATATTAACAGCCTCCTTTTTACATGGAAGTGCCCAGGTTTAGGTAATCAATTGTATGATAAGGCCATTTCTACCTCTCTTGAATGCTCTAGTTAGGCCCAAATTCAAGAGTGGGAACATGCTAGGGAAAGGGGAATTTCCCCACCTTCTAGTGTTTCACCAGAACCAAGGAAGATTAATTCAGGCCACCTCTGTGTGATGAAGAACATGGAAGCAGTGCTCAGAACAGGGCGGCAGAGTTTCACATTCCTAGTCATTTAGTGAGAAGGGATAGAAGAAGCCACTTTCTGCACAGCATCAGTAGCAGGCTACTGCAGGGACAAGGCCACTAGCTCAGTGTGGACACACTGGCCTGGTGTAGACAAACGGCTCACGACTTCTGCTTCTGCCCCTACTTTGTTTTGTTTTGCTTTATATTAACAAAGCAGAAATCCATGTGCTGCTTTTATTTTATTTTATGTACTAGGATTGATCTTGGCACTGAGCTACGTCCCCAGTCCTTTTTACTTATTTTTTATTTTGAGACAGTCTTATGACATCACTGAGTTTCCCTGACAGGGCTTGAACTTCTGATACTCCTGTCTCAACCTGCTGAGATAACAGGTGTGCACCAGCAAACTCAGCTGATTGTTGCTATTTTAAATCATATGTGATCATTTCTAGCATCCAGAGACATGAAAACAGAATAAAAGGCAGCTGTAATGCTGTCATCTAGTGATAAAAACTTTTAATACTTTATGTTACCTCTTGTCACATTTTCAAATCAGTCATATCACACACACACATATATATATATACATTTATAATATTTTCTTTCTTTCTGAAAGATCGGAACAAATTTGAATAACATAATTCACTTATTATAACTTACCTTTTTCTATAATAATATCTTTTGGACTTCTTTGCATGATAAAATATTTGCTCACTTTTTTAATGACTGCATTGTACTTAAAGTTATGGCATAATATCTTTTCAGCCAATTTCCTGCTGGTGGATATTTAGTTTCACTATGCACTTTTGGCATTGTCTTAGTACAATTGTCTAAATTATTTCCTTATATTAATTTTTTGGGTTTAAAAATATGCTCAGTTTTAAGACTTCTTGTGCTGTCTGACTACTCAGGAGGCAGACAAGGAAATGTATTATCATTGCTTTTTAAGCTCCTGAATAAGCTTGCAGTGTGGCAGGTTTTCAAGCAAAAGTACTATGAATTTTTGAAGCGAACGTATATAGTAATTGTAAAGTACTGCTCTTTTCTCGGTCAGCTTCTGGTGTCCTGAGATTAAAGATAAGAAAATAGAACAATTTGTAGGCTCCTTTGCTCTCTCCTGAGAGTCACTGCTTCTGTCCTCTGGTAAATGGCCCTGCAAGATCATGGTGGCCTTGAGGAGTCCGTGCTGCTGAACTTCACACATTAGTGGCCATGTTCAGTTAACGTGCAGGGTGTTTGTCAGTTTCTGAAATGTCTTTTGCTCCTCACAGCCTGCAGTGCACAGCCAGGATTCAGATGAATTTTTTTTTTAACCCTAATGTCAGGATCGTTTATTCCCTTGTTTTAGGCTGAAGAAATGTCAACTATTGGGAGTTTTGAAGGTTTCCAGCCTGTGTCTCTGATGCAAGAGGGAGAAGAACAGCTGTTGGAGACAGAGCACCTGTCCATGGAGGAGGAGGACCCAGGCAATGGCCAAGCCCCCGGGCAGATTTCACGACAGTCGAGTGTGACTAAGTCAACACTTCACCCCAATCCTTACCACAAGCCTTATATCGCTAGGACGTACTTCGTTACACGGGTAAAATTGTTGGTTCTCTTAAATAGTATGCAAAACTTCTCCTTAAAAAAATCTTAATATCTTTCTATGTACCGCGTGTTTGGCTAAGTGGTTATAAATTCTTTAGTCCCTTGTAATGGGCGTCATGGTCATGATAGAGGTACCCTTATCTTCATTGTACAGATGGAGGATCCGAACGTCAGAGAAGCTAGGTCTGTTTTTGATCACCCAGACTGTATCAAGGAGAAACAGTTCTTCCTGCTTCCTTGGGTTTGAATCTTTGGTTAGTGGGTCCTGTGTTCCTGCTACATCTGGCCTCAGGACTGGACTAATCTTTTAGGGGTAGAAAACCTATAACAGAGCAGCTAGAAGGTAGGGCCAGGAGTTGTTATTTGTTTGGTAACGATGCAAGTTGTGAAATGGAAAGGGTTGCTGAGAATGGACTGAATCTCAAGAAGCCTGGTGTTACAGCGTGAGAGCAGGTTCTCCAAATCCTCTGCACTGCAGTATGGCGCTAAGCTCCTTCACCTGTGCAATGCAGTCCGGAAAGTAAACAGTTGCATATTTCGATGTTAAAAAAAAAGACACTTTAAACTTCCGGCATTTAGATCAAGTTGAGAGTGCTTCATGGGTTTCTAGTATCTTTCTCTGCTGAGCTCTCTTTGCTATTTATTGATCTCCTTTCCCAGGCCTTCAGGGTTCTTGTTAACACAGCAGTGGTGAGCTTATAGGTGACAGTCATTTGGCAGTAACTCTGGGGCATGTGCCTTGTGACCATAGAAGCCACCCCGGTTTCATGTGTACATGTATTTTTCAACTCAATATCATCAATAAATGGGGGCTAAGAATTTGTGACTATTTACAAAGCTCTAAACAGTGAATCTTGATTTGGTAGCCTTAAGAATATATCTTTAGGGCTGGAGATTTAGCTCAGTGGTTCTGCCCCCTGCCTCACAAGCACAAGGTCCCAAGTTCAATCCCTGGTAGCAACAACAAAAAAAGAATATATCTTTGGGCTAACATTTTGACTAAAGCAACTCAATGTGTGTGTGTGTGTGTGTGTCTATGTGTGTATATTTATATGTGTGCGTGTGTTTTAACATTGCATAGATATCTATATACAAGGTACTTTGATATTTGCTATATTTGCTATACTATGTGTGTATTTTTATGAGTGCTTTTGTATATGTCAGGCATATAGTTTATTTTTCAAAATATGTGAACTTTGTTGGATATGCAAAGTTAAGTTGTGACATAGAGCTGCAGAGGAAATCAAAACATCCTCTAGAGTTTTATTATCTTTGTTATTGATGATGTCACAGTTTTATGAGAAACAGTGATGTGGAATAAAGGATTTATTAAGGAGCTGGTATAATTATGAGAGTTGGCTGAAAAGTGTATGCAAAATTGTTGCCTTTGCATCTGGTGATGGAGCTAAAGTTGGAATGGGTCAACCAGCTGGCAGTTATGGATTGGGAATAGGGAATAGTAGACAGGAAAAAATGGCATGGTGGACCTGGAATTCCTCATGTCAAAGTGCAAAACATGAGGAAAAATTGGAACCTGTATGCATCCCCCACCAACTCTAACCTTTCACCACTGAGCTGCACGCTTCACCATCCTAGAGGAAACAGAGTGGGAGGTTAGACTGCAATGAAAGGAGATGTAGGTACAGGTGCTGTCCATTTCCATCGTGGGGACCAGCATACTACTTGCTATGAACACAGCTACCAACAGGGCACTGATCCTCAGCAAGGAAAGTGACTCATGTTTCACTTGTGCCTTTTGAATCTTGTACAAGGATCTCTTGGCCAAGTCTAATTTGGAATCCTACAGGAAAGGGAATTCTTGAAAGTGTAGTTCCAGCTCAGTTAAAATGACCCAGTCCAAAAGCACTACCTATTTTGTATTTCCTTAGTGATTTATTTTTGTGGCTCCTGTGTGTCTTGTATCATAAACTCTCATCCTTTGTTTTGTCCCTTGGCACAATCCTGTGCAGTAGGCAGGGGAACGCTTACCATTTTTGTCTTAAGAATGAATGTTTTGAGATCTCAGAGGAATTGTCTTCTCTCCGAGTTATATACTACTAGATGAGCTGCAGCTAGATTTTGAATCTTCTGACTGCAAGTCCAATGCTTTTCATACCATGCACAATTGAACGTGTGGTTCTTTCACAAAAGTTTTTAGTGAATAACTCCAGTCAATGAGAAGAACATATTCTATAGAAAACAACCTTGAGTTCTCAAAAACTTGTGAGAGAAACCCTACTTTTATTAGTAAATCTAATGTGCACTAGAGATTCTTTAGTGGCTCTGAGTTTGAGATTCCCAAGGCTTTCACCATTTGTTTTCCTTCAGACCAAGAGACATCACATGAGTTCTTTTGGGCACTGTGAATGTGTATTAACACATGAGGATAATGAAAATACAACTCTTGGCTCAATTGCAATTTACGATTATAAGCATTTTAAATAAATAAATAATGATCCAGTTTTACTAGCTTGTAAACCACAGATCTGCTCATGTTGTCATTGAATATATACAAAGGAGTCTGCATGTGAGTGTGTATGCCGGTGTGTGTGTGAGCGCATGTGTGTACATGTGTTGTGTGTGTATCCATTTCTTCAATTTCCTCACCTGGAAAGTGTAGACAAAAATACTAATTTTACGTGGAAGTTTAAATAACCAAACATTATAAAAGTTCTCAGACACTTCATAAATGACATCTCATTGATATTATGAATACTTTCTGGGTTTTTTTTTACCTTCACATTTCTATAATTAGTCATAAGAGTGGCACTATGACCTCACTGTGACCTCCGGGGGAGATATAAATGTAGCTATATAGGAGCTACTTTCTTTTTTCCACGAGATAATTAACATGACCAGGACTCTTAAAGTTTCAGATCTAGAAAGTCATCATAGAGTATCACTTCTTAGATTTGAAAGGAGACCTAAGATGCTGCAGTCCAGTGCTTCTCAATTTTTGCCATGCAAACAAATTAGATTCTGCAAATTCTCTGGCAGTTCAGATGCTTTCTGTCTACAGACTACATTCTGTTCACCAAGAAGCTACTCAACTCATCATTTTCAGAGAGGAATGAGGCCTAGAGAGGGAGACTTCTTCGCTCAATATCACAACAAGTAGTGAACTTGGACTTGCCAAGAGGTGATTACTTCAATTTATTGCAGATTAAGAATTTAAAGGACACATCTTGCAAATTTAGAAGAGCAGCAAGTGAGTGGAAGAATTTTTTTGGTCAAGCTTTTTTAAAAATTAATGTTTTAAAATCATTGCACAGGAAGTGATTTATTGATGAAAAATTGGAAAATGTGGTTAAGCAATGTGGTTAAGTCCTTACAAAGTTAATCAAAATGTACTGAATGTGCTATTACACATGTGGGCATGTATCCTTTCTTGCTGCTTTCTTACGTATATAATTTGTTGTATAAAAGTGCAGTTATATGTTAAATATTTTTTCCTATGACAACAATATGCTTTCATAAAATCATTTTAGTAGCTCCCTAATATCCCACTATGGAATTATACTACAATTTCTTTAACTGTTGATGGAGATTTAGATTGTTTCCTCTTTGTGTCATTTATTCTGGGAAGGAAAGTTATTCCTTGCCATTCTAATCAATTTCTCAGATGTCTCAGGAATAGACACCCATTGTTATTACAAAAAGAAATAATTTAAAAAGTTTCCATCTGGGACCGGGGATTTGGCTCAGTGGTTCCACCGCCTGCCTCGCAAGCACAAGGGCCCGATTTCTATCCCTGGTACCAAAAAAAGAAAAGTTTCCAGCTGGATTTGCAAAGGGTTGGCTGATCTTGAAATATAAATTAATTCTTGAAAAAAGGTCATTTTAGCATCATCATCTCAGATGTTAGATCACATGTCTGAATATCAGGTCATAAAAGAAGTCGGTATCACCCCTTAGAGTTCTTCTGTTTTAATACTGGTCAGTCTGGGGGGTTAACTCCTTCCCCGAGGCTTCTGGCATATTATTTATTTACTAAAACTGAACCCTTCTGACTTAGTTTAGGATAATTCTGCTTAGAGCTAGAGGGTCTTGGTAACGTGTCATCCAACTCCTGGAGTCCACGAGAGGGATGCTCAAAGTCAATCAACAACCTATGACTCCAGGCCTGGAATCCAGAACATCTGACCTTTTCCTCCAAACTGCACTACCTCTAACATTGGAAAGTGAATTAAATGTCATAGAAATGAAGGTCTAAACCACTTGCTATCAGTATGCATGGATAACCTTTTCCTTCTGTTTTAGTTCATCTGCTATTATTGCTTAGACATATCTAAAAAAAAGCCCAGTTGTATCTCTGAACAAAAGCATCCCTCAAGGCTAAGAACTGGAGGTATATTATGATAATCATCTTAGTTATAGGGACTGATATTCAAAAACAACTTCTTATGAAAGGAACAATACTTGCTCCACATGGGGAAAGATATTTTTAAACTCTCTATACGACTCTATATTCGAAGATACCTTATCAGAAAGTTGAAGCTATTTGGGATGGGGAATTATCTCTAAATTTATACTTGAGAATGTAAATTACATACAAACTAATGGGACTAAAACTATTTGATCCTTTAATGTTTAATTAATGGTTCCTTGTGGCCTTTTTATAGTCTGTGTTCCATTGTGAGCAATGAGACTTTAATAAGTAGGTTCAGGACTTCCCATTGTGTAGTAGGTTGTCATTGCTTCTGTGACACTCATTTTGCTTTCATACTCTCTCCCTTTTCGTCTTCTCTTGGTATAGGGTTCCCTGTGTCTTGCTCTCGCATTGAGAACAAATACATTTATTAGTTTTATTGTTATTGCCTGTGTGAGCTTCATTTTGGTCTAGAAAATAGACATCTCCCTGGGGAAGAGGTTTTTCAACCCTCCTTCTCACACTGAAATTTCTTGCCAATTTTGACAAAGATGATTTTTCCTTTTGAGGGCAGATCTTTAACAATAATGTGATACGATGCATTTACATAATTTTCAAAGACAGAGCATTTTGACTTTAGAAATCACATCTGATTTACAGCTGATTCTCACCTATGAGTTCATTGCAAGAGGATCTCTGAATGACAGCCACAAGAGAAACCTTGGTCTCTAGAAATATTCTGTATTCCTTCTTCTTCTTACTATATTACTTCTTCCTCCTACTGTCTTGCTAAGGAGCTTATTACACAGACACAGGTATTTGTGTGACTGCTGACCCTGGGCTAAGAAATGCAAAGAAACAAGCACATATGTATTTCAATTCCCTGAGTAGGTTTGCTTCGACCAAAGCCTTCCAGTACTAGACTGCAAGAGATGATACTGCTCACTGCATTATGTCCGATGATGTGCACCTATTACTCGATCATGTTTTTCTATTTGTCTTCATTACAAGGAGGCTTGGAGCCAATTGTTCATTTGCACTAATCCTTGATCCCTAAATTCTGGTATGCTTATTTCCCTTCTAGTATTAGCAATAAAGAGATAATGCTACGGCCTTTTATTATTCAGTGTTTACTATTACTTTTGTATATAGGGTTTCATGGCATCTCTCACTAGCTTTGTTACACTTACTACTATTTTATCCCTCTAACAAACAAGTGGACTGATGTATAAAATGCTGAGGTGACTGATCATGGATTTCATTCCCATGAGAAAGATTGAAATTTAAACCCTGATGTCTCAGGATAAAACAAAATGTTTGAATTTTTCTTTCATATTAACTGGCTGAAGTTAACTTATTATAGTAACAATAATAAAATCAAGGAGAGTAACATTCTCTTTTGGAGTACATTTCCCTTTTATGTCCTGTAAAGGCTTGACCAGTGTAGCTACTGAGGGTAAGAATAATGTGGACAATGAGAACATCCACAGAACTCTATAAGCTGCCAACCCATTTGGTAAAGTTCTTTATTTTTAGCATTTAACTTTTGAAAAGGTGTCTTTTACATTCTTTTCCCACTCATAGGAAACCACTGTTAATAGTTTCTATAGCTCTTCCCAGCATTACTTCAGGCATATAAAAGCAAACAAAAATATTGATTCTTGGTTGCTCTTCTTATTACACAAGTAGTGGCTTATTTTACCTTCTCTTTTGATATTGTTTGCCTTCACCTGATAGTATACTTTGAAATCTGTGTTAGGACTAGTTTATTCTTTCTTTTGATACCCTCATCATGTTACACTTCATTAATATACACCAGGATACACCTGACTACTAACTTGCTCATAGACATTTCTGATTTCTTCCCAATATTTGCTCTCCAAGAAGAAGCTGCAAAGAACACTTTATGTGTGTATCATTTTGCACATATGCAAGGATTTCTGAACTCTAACTCCACAACAGCGGCATATCTAGATAAAAGGGTAGATCATTTTTTAATTTGATAGATTTTGGCATTTACTTTCCATAGGGGATATAAGTGAGGTCTTAAAATATTCTGCATTATTATATTCATCTTCCTATATTTTTGACAAAATGCTTGGCATAAAAACATCCAACAAAATGCTTATTTCAGGATTATTTCATTATTCTCCAACCCATCCTAATATTTTTTCTAAAACATATTAGTCTCACTACTGAGTTTTATTGATGATGCCAAAATTATATGAATACAGAAAGAGAAAAAAATGTACCTAAGTTGAGTCAGCAAAGAAAGCCTTATGTTTTAAGAGGACTTGAGCAGTGGGCCAATGTAGTCACATGGCATCACTGGGAGCTGAGGCTGAGTGAAGGGAAAGTTGTCACAGGATCACAGGGAATCTCCCTCCAGGGCAGTCTAACCTTGCCTGCAGGGTCACTGGAAATGAGTGATCTTGGCACAACCATCTCTGTCAGAAGAAGTTCAGGGTCTTTTTGATTGATGTCCCAGAAGTTACTAATTTCATGACAGACAAGCTTCAGCAAGCCTGGGGTACCATATTATCTTTCTGCCAACTTTTGAGCCTGCAGCAGATGATGATAGAGTCAGAAATCATTCAGCCCACTTAAGATGATAGACTCTATGAGAAACTTATTTAAGTGATACAATCAGAATCTCTCATGGTAAGGGCTATTACCATGTTTTCTTGAAGATTCTTAGGAAGTTTTGATCATCAGCTTGGCTCAAAATTTTTGGTTTATTTCTGTCTATTGTCTCACAGTTAAGAAGCAGAGGCCCAGGAATTGGTTATAGTCACAGAATTAGTCTGTCACAGATCTGAACTATGAACCCAGGCTTCTCAACTCTGTTCAGGGTTTGTCCTGTCCATTTAGAGATGATGTCAACTGTGGGGAGTGAATTGAAAAGCTTGTGTAGGCACGAGCTAAGTAGGTGAAATGCTGCACTGGTTACCTCGCTTCATCCTTTCATGTTTCCCATGTGTGGATTCCCATATAAGAATTTTCATGACAAATGGACGTTGTACCAAAAAAAGTTTCAAAGACATTTATTATAGTTTAAGAAAACAAGAAAAGGAAAATATCACTGTCACACTACCTCTGGGAGAAAGAGGTATTTCAATGGTCCCCAGACAGGCTAGTGTTTCAATTTCCCTATATAAGAGAAGGATCTCAAGCTAGGAGGATTAGGAATATTAGTATTTATAAAAGGTAGGTTTCTGGATTAAAGTTCTATTACACAGAGGAAAATGGAAGATTGTCATCTACTAGTCACTGATAGCTCAGTTTCGGGAACGAAGGTATCAGTATGCTATGGACCTAACAATGAAAGGTTTGAGTTTCATATCTGAAATTTTTAGCTGAGTGTATCTGAGAAGTTACTTCCCACACTTGCCCTAATTTCCTCCTTGCTCAAGTAAAATGGTTTAGACTTGATAACTCATGGGCTATAGTGGTTCTCAGCCTTTGCCCCTTGGCCAAGAACTGAGAGTAATTACCAAGATGGCCCATGGTTCTCACAGGTATTGTCTTCAACAGTGGGGTCTCCTGAGGACTTTTCCGAAGGTCTCAACCCAGACTGGCTGAATCAGCCATTCTGGAGATGGTCCCAGAAATCTGTGGTTCTGATTTACCCCGAAATGTGAAAAATCATTGAACTAGAGTATCTCTGAACTGTTAGGACTGATAGCATCCTAAACTGTTAGGAATGATCTCAGGCAATCTTTGAGCTAGATCTCATTGCATAAATAGATAAATTTGTCTGGGAAAGGAGAACACGAGGTAAGAAGAAAGAATGACTTCATCTCCCAGAGTCAGCTAAAATTTATGGTCAGAGGATTGAGAGAAAGCTGCTAGTTTGGCACGTGTTCTCTGAGGAGAGAAAAGCTTGATTAAAATATGTATAAATTGCTAAATTCTTTGAACTTCCGGATAAACATGTTATGGGAAAATCTGGTCCTCTGAAAATGGTCATCTTCATTTCTAGGAAAGAGTATGAGTAAGAATTTGGAAGAATTGGGATGTGTTATGTACCTGTACCAACTCTCTACGATGAATGTCATCATAATGTACCCCAGAATACACTCATAAAAATAAAAATTAAAAAAAAGAATTTAAAAGATGGAATGTGGATCATTTTTGCTCTACCCAAGGAGCACAGGGTAGTTAAAAGCAGCGTTCAAGAGTAAATTCTAGACAGTACTTACAATAAATAGGCAACAGCAGAAACTGTATCTGTGCCTATTAACTTTCTGGAATAGGTGTTTCTGGGGGTATTCTAACTAATCATAAGCATAGCGTGAGCTCTGTCTTCTCTAAACTAGCTATTTTCTTCTTCATTCAGCCAGGGGCCATTGAAACTGCTGTGGAAGACTTGAAAAGCCACATAGCTGAGACTTCTGGAGAGACCATTCAAGGATTCTGGCTCTTGACAGAGTGAGTAGTTATGATCAAGCGAAGGATAGTGGAAATATAGTGTTTTTCTTTGCATTGCTATAACAGAAAAGGAGATGACTCTGTGACAGTGTTGTCATATAATATAAATGATTGACCTTTCCAGCTAGGGAGTGAAGTTTGCTGTCTTGGGGCAGACAGATGGCAAGATTTGACTCCTAGAACTGTTTCCTAGGTTTACCCTATCCCTTACTGATCATTATGGTTGCCTTGAGTTAGTCTTGCATCAGTAGTCTCACTGACTATTGTCTTAACTTCCTAACTTGCTAGTTGCAATCTATCTCTTTTATAAGCAGTCTCCTTACAATAACATTTGGCTACTATCGTTCTATTCTAGGTGGAGTAGAAAGGAAAGGTAGGAAGCTGTATTGGCTTGTGTCTAGATGTCCCCCCCCCCAAAGCCTCATGTGGTCATAGTTGGGGGTTTTTCAGAGGTGGCTGGGTCTACAGTATGTGATGCTGGAATTGATTCATAGTTGCTGCAATGCTAGGATCAAAGGCACTAGGATAAAGAGTGTGATGCTACCTGCCCTAAGTAGCCTGGATAAGACATAAGGGATAGAAAGAGCCATGGTCATGGCTTGCTTACTTTGCTACCTCCTGCCCCACCATAAACTATTGCTTTTCTGCAATCTTGTCTGCCATGCCACCCAGTTCTGGAACCAGCTGATCATGAACTGAAACCTCTACCAACTTTGAGCCAAATAAACACTTCCTCCCTTAACTTTGAGCATTGTGTATTTTGTCTCAGCAATGAGAAAAGACAGAAGGGGAGAGATGAGGTCAACACATATAGTTAAACTTTATCCTTGTATACAATTACATAAAAAGCAATTCCAAGGTAAATCATGAAATACAAGGAAGATGGACCACATGTGGAAGTTAGCATAAAAACCAAGTCCACCATGTAAGTCCTTTTTGCTTTAATAACTGCCTGCATTCACTCCAAGGTTTATCTTAGCAATGGGAAGTTTCTGTGAACATACCATCTTGCAGATGATTGCCCTTGGACCCTACCTAGAATGTCTATTGTCTGTGTAATCTTTTGTTCACTCACCTAGTGAATGTTAACAATTCTTTGCTTTTTACAGTGAAAAATAAACTACTCACCTATTAAGGGAAGTAAGCAACTCTTTTCTATTATTGAGCCCATAATATCGAATGGATGATGTGTTTATAAGATCCACCTCAGATACTTAAGGAGTTCAGTAAATTCTATTTTCTGTCTTGGAAGTCTTATCACCAAAGAACCAAATAGAAAGCTCAATGATTCCTATGCCATGAGGGAAAACACTTAAATTTTCACCTCTGAGCAGGACAGTTTTGACTGAGTTTCAGGAGGGCAACATTTGAATACTTAACCATTCAGGTCAGCAGTTGAAATTCCTCAATTGACAAGAAATAGAATCAGGCTACTTGTTGAGTCTAACTGCCTGATCATTATTTTATATCATGTTTCAAATGAATTATTAGAATTGATTGAAAATGAATGTCTGAAAACCAACCTGTCTGTTAATTTTGAATCTTTGTTTTTTAATCCATAAAATGAAGATAATATGTACCTCAATAGTTCTCAAGAGGGCCAAAGGAGATATTATTGGTGAAATTCTTGGCAAGCGCGTAGCACAGTGGATTTTCTGAAGCCATTAATGCCCCTCTTGTATTCATAATTACTATTAGTAAATGTCTCTTTCTCCTCTTCCTGTTTCACTGTTTCCTTCTTCTTCCTTATCTTCTTTTTCCTCTTAAGCCTTCATTTATAACTTATTTACCTTTATTATCTCTGAGCTACTTCTAATGAAAGAAAAGTACATAATTCAGACTTTTCACTAATTCACTTTTACCAATTCTTAGAAAGGAATTCTCCACTCTCCTTTAATGGAGGAAAATTTTCCATAATCAAATGAAAAAATATACCTTAATGAGGCCAGACATCTACATTGATTCTGGAGATCTGATCTGAAGTAAACACCTACCAAATTTCTTTCAACAAGGTATCTCATTAATGATGATAAAAAATGTGGTCTTTGAAAGTCTAGTTGTAGCTGCTTTTCAGTTCTCAAATAATTGACCCAGTAATTTTATTAATATTGCATATTTTAATTGTTTGGTTATATTTGTATAGAAATGTGCCTTTTTGTTTGATTTTTGTTCAGTGATTTTCAAGATTAGAAGGTATAAATAGTCCAAAGGTAAATCAGATTGTGTAATCTGCACTGAAATTTAGCACCAAAATTCTATGTATTCAATTAAACATCAACTACAGTAATTAGTGAAACCATTAGTTTCAGATAAATATGAACAGCTGTGAACCAAATGCCCAAGCTTTGAACCCAGTTCTGAACCTACTAGGGAGGTCTGAAGTGGGTAAGGCATATCTAGAAACTCATTTTCCAATTCTTTCTTTTTTCCTTTGTACCTATTTAAATTAAGCACCACAATGAGGGTTGTATCCTGTGCACATGAAGTTTCATGCCATCATATGTGCTTGTTTGCTTTCAGACTTTCTTCCCTTGTACCTTGGTCTCCATCTTTCCTCTATAAACAATAGTTCTTTGGTTTTCTTTCTGGTCTTCTCTGCCTAAATCCTCTAATTCCTCCTCCTCATCACCAAACGACGCTTTCGTGAAAGGTTCTGATTTCAGCATTTCTACTATGGTGAGAGTTTGCTGGTTTCTTTTCTTTGATTGTTCAGCCTTATAGCTAGTTCACCGATGCTGTGGGCAACTGAAGGCACTGACAGTTGTGAAGAAGACTGTTCAGGTATCTGACCTGGAATGAATGAGATTCTCAGTCATTGAAACTGTTCAAACGTAAGAAGGGAGGGTCCACTGTCAGTGGCAGAGCATTTATGGAGGCTTTGAATAACTTTTCACGGTGAGGTCTTTGATTAGAGACTGTAGTACATCAATATTGGGAAAGGCAAAAGAAATAACAGTAATGCAAACAAAAATACCAAAAAACTCAACACCCTCAAACAACAATAAAACAAAATGAAAAGAAAAATTAAATAAGCATATAGGCTAAACAAAACAAAACAAAACAAATACACGTCTTCCAAGTCTTGCCTTGGGATTACTCCTGCCTCTTGACTCTTTTTTTAATTTTAATTTTTTCTTAGTACACATTTGTAGAGATTCAGCCATTCAGGTCTCATGAACTGTAGGGGTTTTAATATAGAGCAACCTCTTTAACCTTCCAAGAGCCACTTCACAACATATTTTTATAGGATGGAAAGGACTCGGCTTTGTGTACACTGACACTTGGCTTTTCCATGGAGATGAGACACCTCTGGCTGCCCAGATAGCAATTTGAAGCATATTTGCTTTTAAACAATGATTGCAGTTTTATAACAATGAGACTGAAAGGCCTTGAAACACACACAACACATTAAAATGTGTTTTCACATTCAGGAATTTGCTTTAATTTTATAGCAACCTTGCTGGTTTTGTGATTGCTATTTTGCAAATGGAAAAATAGATAAGATGACATGACCAGAAGGAGAATGTGTAACTGATAGAGCAAGAAACATGTGAAAGTGCCCCCTGTCGTAGCCTTGAGTTTGACTGGATTCAGCCCCGATGGCAACATGTACACCATGATACTTGGCAAAAACTACAGATCAGAGCATAAATTCTTGATTCATTGATTTGTTGATTTTCTAAATTTAAGAAAAAAAAATTACCACTGCATGGTAAAACACTGTAGAAAGTACTTTGTATATACAATCTCACTTAGTCTTCCAAACAATTTTGTCATTCACTGTTCGCAGAACTTGTTGATTACAAATTTGCAAAATATGTGTAGAATGGGTCCATAGTTGAGTAGGCAGTTGAATTGGTGGTCCAGTCACTGTCTTCACAAGTAGTTTTTCAAAACTGATAATCTGAAATGCTTGTTTCTTACAGTACTGTCATCTATAAAGTTTAATGGCATATAAATAAGCCAATGGAACCATTTTCCAAGGGATATCATTCAAATTAATTCAGGTGAACTACATTGTGGTGTTCTAAGTTGACAGAAATATACTATGCAGTAAAATTAGAAATCTGAGTTTGAAGGCATTTAAAAAGAACACACAAGAATGGGAAGAGACCATTAATATATGAAAAAATATTCAACATTGCTGGTCATTAGAGAAATGCAGATTAAAATAACACTGAGATTTTATCTCACTCCAGAAAGAATGGCAATCAAGAAATCAAATAATAAAAAATGCTAGTGAGGCTGTGGTGACAAAGGAACCCTTCTCCATTGTTTTTTTGTTTTGTTTTGTTTTGTTTTGTTTTTGGTACCAGGGATTGAACTTGGGTCCTTGTGCTTGCGCAGCAAGCGGTGAAACCACTGAGCTAAATCCCTGGCCCATCTCCATTGTTGATGGAAACGTAAACTACTAGTACAACCACATAGGAAATCAGTATGGAGATTTCTCAAACAAATAAAACTTGAAACTCCATTCAATTCAGCTATTCCCCTACTAGGTATCTTCCTGAAAGAGTTAAAGTCATCATACTACAGTGATACATGGATATGAATATATATTGAAGCATAATTCATAATAGCTAAATCTTGGAAGCAGCCTATGTGTCCATCAATAGGAAAATGGATAAAGAAAATGTAGTATTTTCAATGGAACACTATCCTCTATAAAGGAGGATAAATTTGAGTCATTTGTGGGAAGATGGATGCATCTTGAAAGCATGTTAAGTACAATACATCAGATACACGAGGTTGAACACCGTATGGTTTCTTTCATAAGAGAAATCCATGGTACAAATAAAGAACAAAGTAAAAGAGAAGGGGCCGAGATGTAGCTCAGCAGCACAGCGCCCTGGCCAGCATGAGGTCCTGAGTTCGATCCCTGGTACCAAAAAATAAAAAAATAAAATAAAATAAAAGATAGAGAAAAGAAATCAGGGAAACAGATCTACTGCAAATGGGAAGGGGACCAAGACTTGGAGGAAGGGGAAACACCAGATGGG